GTTTACGTGGCCTTGCAGGAGTTGAAGCTGACCAGATAGCGAGTTCCAGCCACTGCAGACAGCTGCGTGGTGCGAGGGCAGAAGCTGTGCTCCCTAAGGGTTGCTGTCAGAGGCCTGCTTTCGTCCTGCTCTCTGCCGCCCTCCCAGTCATCCGGCCGGCCCAGGACAGCCACTCCGTCAGGTTCTGGCCGGTCCCTTCAGCGTTTCTCTTTGTAAAAATAAGCAAGCATGTCTATGCCTTCACATCCATACCCCCATCCACACTCACTCACACACTCACCCCCACACACATCCATGCACACACACACACACACTCTCACATCACACTCACCCCCCCACACTCACATCCACATATCCACACACACTCCTCATATCCACACCCATGTCCACACTCACATCCACACACACTCACACCCTCACACACGCATATACATTCATTCACACCACCCCCACATGCGTGCACATGCATCCTTTTCTGAACTGATGAGAGTCACTTGCAGACACGATGCCTCTTGACCCTGAATACTCGTGTGTGTTTCCTACAGAACAAAGGCTTTCTTGTAACCAAATGAAAGCACCAGATTTGGGATATTAACCTCGATCCAGCCCCATTACTTCATCTCCAGACCTTGTTCAGGTTCATTAGTTGTCCATAAAGCAAAATAATGATTCTTGCTGGAGGAAATTCTTCCAGCGATACTTTGATGAAAGCCAAATGTTGATTGACTCCAGACTCTGCTACCATGGCCTTAACCAGGGAAGCCAGAACGCATCACAAGTTCAGAACGCATCACAAGTTCGGGTGTGTAGAACAGGAAGTGTTTTTGTCATCTGCCCGTACTTGGTTTGGAATCAGTACTATTGTATAGCTAAATCTCTGAGCAGTTGAAAATCTAGATTCTGTATTGTACATTTGGAAACAATTTGGTTTACAAAAATATTCTTCCCTTACAGCAGCAGAGTGGGACAGTCTGGGCTCAAGTCCTATTTCCACGTGCTAAACTTGGCTTAGCTCTGTCATCTAGACCTGTATTTCCTTATATCTGTACAGCCAATGGCAATAGCCTGTCCTAGGGCATTTCTGATGCACCTACCACAGTGCTTGAACCCAGTACATGCTGTAAGTCCACTGTCAGCTCCCACTCAGCTTCCTGTGCCCCCCCCGCCCCACCGTTATTTAGTATAAATTCCAAGTTTGGCTTCCTTAATGTTCGAATTAGGTAAAGTTTCACTCCACCGTTTCTATTTTTTCACGTTAGGCTTGTTGAACGTGTATTTTGAGGCTTGGATATAATGTAATGTCTTGTAAAGCAGAGTTTATCACATTTGAGCTAAACTAATCCCTAACCATAACTGTATATTCAACAAGGTTCTTCACAGGCATTCCGAGGTTTATTTTTAGACTACCCAATCTGGTACTTTTCTGAATTTTTTTCTTCTATATTCTAGGTATTTATGTATGGGATGTGGAAGGCAGAAAATATTTTGACTTCCTGAGTGCTTACAGTGCCGTCAACCAGGGACACTGTCACCCCAAGATTGTGGATGCTCTGAAAAGCCAGGCGGACAAGCTGACGTTGACCTCGAGGGCTTTCTACAACAGCGTCCTTGGGGAGTATGAAGAATACATCACTAAGCTCTTCAGCTACCACAAAGTTCTTCCCATGAATACAGGTGCCGTAGCTCTTCTGGTGTTGAAAACACTCTCATCTTCTGCTCATTTCAGTGTTGAAACCTGAATGGTTTTTCTTTTTGTTAGGGGTGGAGGCGGGAGAGACGGCCATCAAACTTGCTCGTAAATGGGGCTACACCGTCAAGGGCATTCAGAAGTACAAAGCAAAGGTTGTTTTTGCAGGTACGTGAAGTGCTCCATTAACTGCTGTTACTTAAGTGTGCAGTCTCATTGATGGTTTTCGGTTTCTGCTTCAGTATCTCTGATGTGTTCGCTTAATCCGTGGTGCTTTGTTTGCCGAACATCTCCATTAAAAATTAATAATTAAAAATTAATAAGGGGCAGGGTCACCTTGGCTTATTTCCAAGTTATTTCTTCAGATACGGAACTTCTCTCTCCTAAATAGCTCACTGTGCCCCCCTCCCTAATTGAGGGACTATAGGGTTAATTTCTCCTCATCTGCTTACCTCATTTTCTTCCACAGCAGTTTTCCAGTTAAGCAGATGGCCTTACTGGTGGAACATGTGTGTTAGGTTGTTGGGTTGGGTCGTGTTAGCATGGGCCATGTCCTGGTGTGAGAAGAAGTTTGCATTTTAACAGTTGAGGTATTCTTACAAGCTTCTGGGGTGAAGAGGGCTGAAGGTTTCCTCATCACTGTTTTCAGAATGGTTGAGAAGAATCACTAGGCTGCTGGTTGAGGAGAATAACAGTTGAGATGATGTAACCTAACTTTTGGAATCTTTATGATGACATTCAAATGAGGTTCTGGCTTTTCTTTTCCAACTTTGATTGTAATTTTTAAAACACAAAGCGTATATAGATTTGTCACTGCACATGGTCAGAATTCACTTTTGTGATCATTAAAATCCTTGAAACATTTTGCCTTGTGAACACTTGCAGTTCAATGACAAGCCCCGTAAGTGATAGAAGAGTTTCTGGGTGGGGCAGACAGCTAAGCGCTCGCTGCTAACCGGAAGGTTGGTGGTTCAAGTCCGCCGGAGCTACCTCAGAAGAGGTGGGGCAGACAGCTAAGCGCTCGCTGCTAACCGGAAGGTTGGCGGTTCAAGTCTGTCGGAGATACCTCAGAAGGAAGGCCTGATGAAAGCTTCTGAAAAAATAGCTGCTGAAACCCCCCAGAACACGGTTCTACTTTGACAGACACGGGCTCGCCAGGAGTCGGGCTCAGCTCCACAGCAGGTAGTGTGATTTTTGGTTTTAACACAAATAGAGTTCAGAGTTCAACTGATGGCCAGTGGTGACTGCTGTTTGGGGTGACAGATTAGTGTTTCTAAAGACGACATCTTAGCACAGCCCTGTACTGCAGTGTGAAGCCTTGGGCCTTGGTTGTGTAGGGCAGCACAACTCTCATGCAGACAGGAGTGGTAGTTTCGGTGATCTTCATCCTTACAGACGGGGTCCAGTCTGTAATAGTAGCAGAGTGTGCCGAGATGTGCTCACCTGAGTATTGAAGGAAGCTGGTGAGTCAGTGGGGTGGAGAGACAGGACGGCTGTTCCTACCTGGAAGCCCTTATTCCTATAGGGTAAGCTATGGAGGATGAGGTTCCTGGGGCTGACGACGGGAGTGAGTTGGCTCGTGGCCTCATAGGTTCATTTTTCTTACACAAGCCTGATCAGTATCAGCGTGCTGTGATTTGTGGGTGAGAATGGTGGGGATTAGTCAGAGGTGAGAGAGGCTTGGCAAGAACAATTTACAGAGGCTGTGAAATCAGGGTTTCTAAGGCGGTAAATCTTCATGGAAGGAGATTGCCCCATCTTCCTCCATGGAGTGGTTGGTGGATTTGAACCGCCAACCTTCTGGTTAGCAGTCAAGTACCTCAGGTGCTGCACCACCAGAACTCCTTATGAAGTCAACGCAAAAATGCAACCACTGCTGTGGAATCGGATCTGACTCACAGAGACCCCTCCTTGGGTTTCCGAGGCAGTATCACTATGGAAATAGATTGCCCAACCTTCCTTCTGAGGAGTGGCTGGTGGGCTTGAACCTCCAGCCTTCTGGTTAGCAGTCAAATGGCTTAGGCACTATGCCACCAGAGCTCCTTTGAGGTCAGAGGGAGTAATTCAGTACTGGGCTCTATTAGTTGCTGCTGGTAGAGGAGGTGTGAAGGTAGGTGAACCACCAACTCTCTCCATGGTTTATTTCCTTGAATTTAATCCTTTTGTGACCTGTGGGACATACAGTGCCCACCTCTATTTCCCACCTCTGGAGTTTATTGGGAAGTTTCTATCCCACTTGTAGTGCATGCTGCCATCTGGTGGGGGCCTGTGTAACTGCGTAAATCTGAAGAAATGGGCCTTATCAGACCAACCTCAGCACCTGGGACTCTTCTGCTCATATGTGTCTCACTGATTGTTTTAAAATCCACATTTTACCTCAACATTTTTTTTTTTTTTCATTCAAATTGCCTTCCATTCCTGAGAGTACAAGGTTTCAACAAAAAATTCAAAGCAGAAAATAATTTGGCCTTGAAAGGGTTAACTCAGTTTGAAATGATCTTTTGTTTGTTTTGTTGGTTCAGGTTATTTTGTGTTTTTTCCCTACTGGAATGTAAGCGTCTTGCGGGTGGGACCCTGGTGAATCTGGGTCACTCTGTATACCACCTCGATCACCTAGAACCACACGTGGTGTGTAGCAGGCACTCTAATGTGGTGATGAAATATATAAGGGATCAGAAAAAGGTTCCTGGGCCAAGGCAGATGTCTGTCATTCAGCCTTATGAAGGATTGTAGTATCAGGGCTTCCAACCGGGTTGGAAACTGATAGGCAATACTCCATGATTATCCGATTTATTAGGGAAGTAACAGGTTCAAGAACTCACTCAGGATACAATTCTTTGACCAGAACAGTCTCCCCACTGCTGTGCCCTCAGGCACGCCTTTCTGGCCCTTGGCCTCTTGGTCTGGCCTCTGTCCTGCTCAGACAAGTTTACAGAGTTCTTTTAGCTCTGCCGATAGATACACCTCGCTGCACTCCACTCCACCAGCAAGCCTCCCGCTCAGAGGCTCTCAGCTTTCTTGCTCTGTGGGCCGGAAAGCCTGCCGCTCTGTTTCTCATCCCTCTTGGTTCTTCTGCTGATATCTCTGCCAGCCTCCGCTGCTGGTCCAGCCCTCTCTCTGCCACGGCGCTCCAGCGCAGGGATCGCTGCTCCAGGGACGCACTCCTCTCTACCTCTGGCTCTTCTCTCGTGGTGGCAGTGAGATCCCCTACCAGAATGACAAAACTAACCCATCCCCACATTAGGGTTCCATTCACCTTATTTGCATAGTCCCATCCCACAAGGGGGTGCCATGTACCTTATTTACATTATTAGCAAGCGATCCAATCCCTTTGATGGGCGATAGTCCATCACATTTGTACAGTTCCACCCAGTCATCTGGTGGGAGTCACAAAGACCATGGCAGCAAAGCCAGACGGAGTAATTCCTGTACCACGAGCAGCAATGCCAGACCTCTGTCCTCTGTGCCTTCAGGACCATGGTGCTTACGCTGGATCCAGTGTTCGCAGTGAAAGCCTGGAAGCAACCACGAACTTCTCTTTCTGCATCACATTTCCAAAGGCAGTTTTTTGGGGGATAGTGCCCATCTGGGGATTCGTTTGAAATAGTCAGTGTCTGTTTTTCTTTTCTAGCTGGAAATTTCTGGGGTAGAACACTGTCTGCCATCTCCAGCTCCACGGATCCGACGAGTTATGAGGGGTTCGGGCCATTCATGCCAGGTTTCGAAATCATTCCCTATAATGACCTGCCGGCTCTTGAGGTACTTCCGTAGTCTCATGGCACTTAGCACGAGTAACATGGGCCGTTGAGTCGGCCCTGACTCTTGGTGACCTTCCGTGACAGTAGAACCACCCTCATGGCGTTGCCCAGGTGCTCATCCAGAAGCACGTTGCCAAGTCCTCCTGGAGCCAATGGGGAGGTTCGAACCGCGACCTTCTGATTAGCAGCCAGGAGCTTACTCATTGTACCACCAGGGCTCCTTCACTTAGCACTCTGAACAGAAATGATGTGTCAAGTACATGAATTTAAGATACATTATGTGATTGTGTAGTGAAATTTTATCTTTTGTAAGTTGGGCCAAGGTTTTGAGCTTACTCTGTTACTGTCCTGGTAACTAGCCAACCACTTTATTTTTTATTTTTTGTTTTGCAGCATTGTATTTTATTTTTATTTTAAGAGCCTGTTTTACATTCAACGTGACGCGTACATTTAGTTTCATTCCCCATTCACCATGTCCAACCCTAACCCAGTCTCCTCCCCTCCCTACCCTGTAACCCTCCCCCTGTGCCCCTCTTAATTATGTACTCCTATTTGTCCTGCATTTTCTCAGTTTGAATGTTGGTCTTTGGTGTCCCATGGTTTATTGCTCTAAGGGATGTATTACCATTGAGTGTGTGGGTGTGGCATCCTGGGTTGAGTGGTCTGTGTGTACATCTTGTTAACTATTGAGAGCCCATCCCAGGGGTGAGTTTTATTCCAGGCGCCAAATTGTATTTCAGGGCCATAGTATCAGGAGTCTCACCAGACTTCATCTGACCAGTAATTCTGCTAACCAATCACTTCAGATTTGTATCCTTCAGGACAATTACCTGGGATATTATCCGTCTAATTACTGGATAAAGTTACTCAGTTGTCAGCTAGTTTTTTAAAATTGAAGTAGGAGACCTTTGTAAAACAGAAAGCTTAAGTTAAAGTGGATTTAAAAGACTGCTGTCGTTTTTATTTATACGAATTCACGTGTTAGAGAACATAGCTCAGAGTAGTATGTGGCTGCAGTATTTCGAGCGTCTGGAGTGAGTGTTGGTCAGAAATGTGGTACTTGGAAGGAGGGTGTGAGTCAGTGGGAAAACGTGATTTGCGCACTAATTGTCATCATGAAGTTAGTGTAGTGTATGATTTCAGACTTCCAGTGGCATAGAAGGGAAATGATTGAAACTCATTCTTTGATTTTCTCCCTTTGTGTTTCTTTGCTATAGCGTGCTCTGCAGGACCCAACTGTGGCCGCGTTTATGGTCGAACCCATTCAGGGGGAAGCAGGCGTTGTTGTTCCAGACCCAGGCTACCTCACGGGCGTGCGCGAGCTCTGCACCCAGCACCAGGTCCTCCCTGCTGACCATTCATGACACGTTTCCCTGGGCCCAGCCGCCTGCAGAGATTCCGCCTGTCCACGAGAGGGAGACATCATTCTAATAGCTTCTGAACTTTCAAGTGCTCTGTATCAGCAACTTGGGCACCAGCAGAAATTGGAGTGGCTGCTCCACTCTGGCCATACTCCATCCCAGGGCAGAGATGCAGACTCCCGGGCCTAACTGTGTCTCCTCTTGAGTCTTTATCTGTGGTCTAAATCCTCCCAGAGCCCCTTTGTTACAGCTCCTGCTCCAGAGTTTAACCTCTTCACGCCTCCTCCCACCACGGCTGAGGTTGTTGGGTACCACTGAGCAGATTCTGATCCTAGCAACCCCATGTGACAGAGTAGAATGGCCCTACGGGGTTTCCTAGGCTGTAATCCTTATGGAAGTGGACCGCCACATCTTCCTCCCGCAGAGCCTTTTGGTTAGCAGCCAAGCACTTAACTATCACACGACTTGGTCTTCTGAAGGCTGATGTCAGTATATTTACCACTGGACAGTCCTCTCTTACATCGTAACTAATAAGTGTTTGTGGAATAAACAAATGCATTATTTC